ATATTCAAATTGTGTTTAAAAAATTAAATGCTTATAAAGTACATAGTATTTTTCACATAGAAAAGATTCAGGTTACATAATGTTTTAATCGCGCGATACGAAGCACCTTTCGTAGCATATGTATAACGTAGGGTGAATAGCATTTAATAACGATACAAATAAATTATTTATATGCGAGCGCAAATCGCAGGTAATCTTGTAAAGCGGAAGGGTGAACGTCCGCCCGATGTAACGGGTCAAGATTTTCCGCGAATGTTTCGTAATAAGTTTCGCGGAAGAAATTCCTTTGCTACACGAGGGTCTCGAGCCCTCTCTTCTCGGCGCGCTTTCAAAGAAAACCGGTAGTCGTAATTCCAGTATCCAGCGAGCATCACACATTGTCGGGCTTTATCGTCTAGACGCACTGGAGTGCGGCTTCTTGCTCCGAGCTGAATCCGACGAGAGAGATAGGGAGAACAATGGCAACGAAAGAAATGCGATAACAATCATTAAAATGCACGTTTACGAGAAGGCTAATTAATCGAACGGTGCATGGCATAGAAATGCATACGATTTACGCATGCAGTGCGATACAAAGAATATAAATTTTGTTTCCTTGATTCATTGATTTATCACATAAATACTGATAAATTTAAACGTCAGATTTTTGTCTTGCAAGTCTATTTATTGATTTTATTGCATATGCAGCAATTTGGTTTTTGTAGACAGCAAGCGAGAAAAAGTGTAACAAAAATATCTATGTCATGCGTTTAACGCGCGAAAATATTTAATTTTATACTTGAAAATTCAAGATTATTAAACATGAGGTGTTAAAGAACGCCGTGTATTTTATGTTATTACACTGAATAATCAGCTCTCTCTTTTCTAGAATTAAAAGTATTGCGGCGCGCGTTTAATTAATATAGTCGTAATAGGCAGCGAAACAATTTTGTTCGTCGTCTATTTTCATAGGCCTCCAGCGTTAGAAAGCTAATTTAGCGGTACGTCGTCGGTCATTAAGTATAAATTGGCTCCGCGATTAACGTTTGCTTTTTATTAAGAAGCTTTACGAAGCAGGATTGCACTGGATTGAGTCGTAATTTCTTCGCTAAGTAACGACAATCCCCAATTAAAAAAGAAAAGGAAAAAAGCGACGTTTGCACCGTGTTGGTTCAAAAATTTTTTTTGTTTATGAAATGTATAAGTAATTCAGATTTTAAATTTTCTATACAAATAATGTGCTAAAAGATATGGAATCTGAAACATTAAAGACAACATTGCCATAAAAATGTGAATCTGAGAACTCGTTCATCTAAAAACTTTCAGAAAATTCCTGAAGCATTCGTAAAAAAAATCGAGTAAATCATAGGAAGTTTAGATTTTTTTCCTCAATAAATCACACCGTGACACAGACGAGGTTATGGCTTTCCCATAATTTATTTTCACAGTTATCGGTCTCGCGTCCCCGGAGACATACCTGCCATTAAGCTACCGTCCACGCTGGGTTTTATCATTTTTTCGATTGTGGGTTACGGAGCTTAGCGGGACGTTGACATTCGTCTGGAAACTTTTATGCCGTCATAATTATTTACACGACAGCCGGAGGTGAAGATCTCTGGGTGCAGTAAGCGACGGCAGGTAGAGGCAGGAAGTATAAATCATGATGAGGAATGGACGACATATTCAATAACCTCGCAATAAAGTGGGACGAAACTTTATTAGGAAACGTATGACGCGGCGAAAGAGAGCGGGGAAAGGCAGAGATCATGAATTTTGTCCCTTTCCGTGCTGTCATCCTCTATAAATCGTCAGATTAATATCACGTGGGAATCCGGCAGTCGCAAGAGATCGGTTAGTTCGTGAAAATCGCATGATTTAGGAAATTGGATGTGATCTTCCAGAATTATGATGGCAATATTCGAATGTGATGGTTCGCCGTTGTGGTGATATTTCCGTAATCGCGAATCAGAAAGAGAACTATTGAAGAGAAAAGATGCAGGATGATTCGTATGCTCATCTTATCGTGACAATAATTTCTCGAATAACAAAATTGTCACAATAATTCTTTTTTAAGTCAATACCGTGTAATACTTTGACATGATAATTACTCTAATTAACGATAATGATATTTTTATGTAAAATTTTAATGGCCAATTTAAAAATTGGCCATTAAAGTCTGATTTTTCAGTCGACAGCGCGATCGCAAAGCTGTGCGCTACAATTAAGGCACTAGATATGTAGGTATTGTAAGAATCTCTTATGATAATGTAGATAACGGCGGATCAATTAGTGTCTATTTTATGTATGAAGGCGCTAGCCTATGTTGTATATGCGCAAAGCGCTCCGGCGTCGCCGGGAGGGAACAGATTTTCAGAATGTTCGAGAAAGAACGAGAACGTTCTTTCGAAAAGGATATATAAGAGGGCCCGAACAGGCAACGAGGCTTTTTGGCTCTGAACAGTTAAGAGATAAAGTCAGTATATTTTTAAGTGTGTGTATCCAACGACGAGAGGGACTTCGTCAAAGGGACATCATTTTCATATCGCAAAGAGGGACTTTTGCAGAATTTTCATTAACAAGCAAAGAGGGACTTTTGCAAGTTAAAATTATTAGCCAAGAAGGACTTTGGCTTAATTTCAAATTGGTTACGTGTCGCCGGAAAGCACGGTTAAGATAAGTGAATTATTTGGACAATCATTTCGTTATATCACATTTTTATTTAATCTATGATTCATTGTTAATAAATTACTGTTACGTTAATAAGTTCTATCTCTATCCTGACATAAACGGACCTTACAGTATTCTCATCCGCCATTTTGGTTCCTATTAGATGGAGAATTATAGCGTATACAGGGTGACACTTAAAGACTGCCCACTAAGTACATAGTGTTATTCCTTGCCAAAAAATGAGTCGAAAAAAGTCCTGAATCATTTTTAATAATTGACGTGTTACACATGTACGCTATACTATACTACAGTGCTCGGAATTAGTCTGAACATTTCAGCCGATTTCCGTGGTATACGCCTCCTTTCCTCTCCTTACCGCGCGCGCCGCAGCCGCTAGGGCCAGCGCCGCCGAGCGTTAGGAGCGACACTATCTGATTATGAGTGGGTTCTTTTCCCTATTTATTAAAATTTTAAAAAATGTATTAAAATTTATTAAAAATAAATTTTTTATTTTTAAATTTATTAAGTGGAAATATTTCAATAGATTTCCACGTCACCCATGAGATACTAATGCTGACGCGTTTTTTTTTAAATGGTTTCCCCCGTAGACCTA